GTTGGCTCTTGCTCAGCTGCTTTCGAACTCCTGACCTCGAGCCAATGGGGCCCAACTCGGCCTCCAGAGTGGCTAGGCATTACAAGGCTTGAGCCACGCGGCGCCGGGCCCATGAAGAGGTGTTTACAGTGCACAAAGTATGCTGTATAGCCTGGCCTGCGGCAGAATGTACTTCTCTTCCCCTAATGTGTTCTACACAAATTCCATTCTATGCCACTTCCAGTGTTTACCCATTGGCAGTAAGTGCCGCGTTTTGTCAGGATCCTCTGGACGTGAGTGTGTATGTAGCGTCCAGAGGCAAGAGAAACCTTATTTTCTTTGTACGGGTAGGGGAAAGGCATCACCCCCCTTCAAAATGAAAGCGGTTTTCTGGCACTTGAGAATGCCCATGCTAATCCTTCCCAAGGGCGATTTTAGCACAGAAGTAGTCATCCAGTGGTAGATTGACAGTGGCGAAGACTCAGATGAGTGTATTCCTTTGTTTCTGGTTCACGGTGTCATGTGACCCAGTAATGAAAGCTGGGGACAGCAAGATCATTTTGGAAGGAGGGCACCTTAAACTGTTGGAAGCGATGATGATGCATGACTTGTGTCACCGACCCTGTGACAGGATGGCTTGCAACAAAGGGAAAATGTTTCTGGTCTCTTAAAACTTCGCCCCAGGGCTCTTTTGGGAACTAAATCCTGCATCCACTGTCTCAGGCCAGGTTGGGTTAGAGAGGGGCAGAGGAGTGTCCTTTTGTTCTAGTGTGCTATAGGGCATGGTTCAGTGGATGTTCTTGGCTGCCTGGGGGAGGTCTCAGAGAGGTCCAGGAGATCGCTGGAGGAAGGTCATATGGATTGTCAGGATGGAAAATGACCAGAAGCATCCCTTGTATGGCTGAGAGAAAATAGCTTTGAGAATGCGTGAACCCTCCTTTAAAAACTGTGGATTTTGGCTTATTGTTGGGGAAAAGTGCGTATTTGAGGAGGAAGTCTGCTTTTCCCCATGTTGAAGGCAATGGGATTTCATGGGTGAGTCCCCAGCACTTTCTTTATTGTGTCTTTAGTGAGAAGATCGATGGAGGTTAGAGGCTCTACAGGGGCAGAGGCTTCTGTGCATCCAGAAAGGTGAGAGGAACATTGCATGATGCTCTGCTCATGAGGGCTTATTTCTTAGAGATGGGAAAGGGTGGAGATGGCGGCACTGGGAGACCCTGCTCAACGATGGAGGCTGAGGCCCAAGGGACTCTGGTGGGAAAATTGGTGACAGGCCTTGTGTTTTGCCAGCCAGTGTTGGTCCAGGACTGCACAGTGGCCACCAGGGGCCTGATTTTGCCTTTGTTTTACAAAGCCATTGGGTGGATATTGTGGAAGGGTACTTTTTAAAATCTTGGTCTTGGCTGTTTTCTGGAGATTTCTTTTCAGAGACCATATTTCTATTGTTTTTGACCTGAAAAGGAGGAAAGTATTAAATCACACGCTGAGGGAATGTACTTGGGATTATGACAGCTGACAATCCTTAGCTGCCTTTGAGTGGTATTTTGTGTTTCTTTAACATGAGTGTGCATGTAATACATTTTTTTGGTTAAATTTTGGAATTGGTCTTCTCTATATGTTGCCTTCAAAAGAAAAAAGAAATCTTGGTAATTTCAAATGAGCAGTTGGGTGGCCTGATCAGCTCAGGGTTTGTTCAAGCACTACTGTGAATGGCCTTCAGCCACTATTGACCCTGTTTTGCATTGCTTTAGAATATGTTTATTTAATAATCATTGTATCAACCAAGTATGGTTCTGATGCTTTTAATGCATTTTTCAGAAGAAGTTTGGTGTTATTCGCATTTTAGAAATAATGAAAATAGCATTCTGGGTTTCAAGAGCTTTTTGCTTTAATCTCTGAAAGTAACCAAGCACCCAGGAATCCTATTTCTTGTTTTATTTTACCATATAATGGCATGGGTTGTTTTCATGACATTGCAGTCATTTGAATTTGTTTCATCTTGATTTTGTCCATTTTCCATAAATAGTCTTCAATTGAAAGTATGTTCCTTGTATGTGTTTGAAAATGAATTGTCCTGCTGGGTGTTTGATACTTACAGCCACTGTGGCTGTCTGGTAGTCAGTCTTGGCAGCCAAGATTCGATACTGTTTGGCGTTTAATTTTATGTGTTTATCTTCATAGCATTCAATTAAATTTTAGTCCTGGCACTCCTCATAATTTTCCTCAAAAATGTTTGGTGTAAATTTCACTTTACAGAAAAAGAAATTAATACCTGATTGAGTGCCTTTAAGTTTCTCATGTAATTGCATGTTTGACATAACTTATACTGCTTAAATTCTGTTCTTGTTTCCTAATCATAAATTTTCTTAAAATAAATGTTTTCTGATCATTTTGATTTATAAATGTATAAGTTAATCAGTTTGCTGAGTCCTTGATATTTTATGACAGTGAAGCTCTTACCTCTCTATCCTCGGCAGCCACAAAGCACAGTTTGGGATTTTATTTTACAGGAGATTTGTGTTTGTTACCAATTGTTTTTATTAAATGTAGGTCCTGGCCATTTTCATAAGTTTTGTGTTAAGAGGTTTTGCTTCATTTTCAATTCACAAATGAAGAAAAGATTTTTCTATTAATAATTGCCTCTGTGCCTTTTTTTTAAAACAATCAGATTTATTTGGAGAAAACAAAAAACCCACAACCCAAAGGATAGGATTTTACATCTCAAGACATCTCCCAGGTATTAAGTCTACAGATTACAAATCATTTTCATAGAAGATATTGTTGTACAATTTTTACATGTATTCAGGAGCGGGACATAAATCAATCCCTATTTCTGTTTTAATGAGGGTCGGGGGAGGCAATGTTGGGGATTGGGAACACCAGCTTTTTTGGATACAACTATTTGGAAGGAGAGTAGACATGAAGAGGGCAAACCCTAGCTTTTCATTATCTACAACCAATGGTTTCTTAAAAAACTAACAAACAAACAAAAAAACCCTTTCAACCTTGGGTATCTCTCTTTTAAAAAGCCCACTTCCTAGCTACTAGCCAATTCATGTCAATTATGTAAAGCTAATTCACTTGGTATACCTTTTGTCCACTTGGTAAATTACTCCTTATGCCCACTGCTGCAGCACAAATAAACCCACACCTCTGCATGGCTGGACACAGTCTAACCTAGGACTGATGGGAAAGTAGCTTGCAAACAAGAGACCAAGGTGTCATTTCTGCAGGTAGTAATATTATATTGCCCATGATGGGGAAGGATACCATCTGCCCAGCTGACCCCTACAAAGTTGCACATCGAAGCAGGCAAGTTTAGCTACTGTGCTGAAAGAGAAACCAGGACCTTGACCTTGTTAAACAGCGCTCTCCATTACCATTTACCATTTATTCTCTTAAGGGAAGTTTAGAAACAAAACAAAACAAAAAAATCACACACACACACACACACAGACACACACACACACACACACACTAGGCCACATTATAAATCTAAGCACTGGTGTGGGATTTCAGTGGAGAGATAGAAATTTGGGAGTGGAAAACAAAACCCAATCGTGGTTATAAGAAAAGCCTCCCAATTTAACAGTCCCTATTTACCCACCTTTATTTACCAGCCAAGATCATCAATTCTAGAGTATTCTAATCTGTAAAAGGGGTTAAAGCAGCAGGAGCAGGCATGGATGGAGGGAAGGAGAGTCAAAATAAATCAAGGAAGCCATTTGCTTGAGAAAAGCATTGATTCTTCCTTTCACAGCCCCCAGTGGCTGAGATATAAAATGCCCTAGATAATAGGTATGTGACTTAGAGACTGCTTTTAGGGAGGTAAGAGTACCATGAACTTAACACAATGACAAGAATCTAAATTTTTAAAGCTTCAAGGTTTCAACAGAATGTGGATATATTTGAACTTTCAAAAAGGACAGTGTTTAGAAAGGGCAAAACCAGGACACATAAGACTGGGAATTCCCAAGATCCCAAAGTGCTTCCTGTTCCAGGAAATAACCATTCATGTGTTTATTGGAGTTAACATTATTTTTCCCCTATAAGCTGGTGCAAAATGATTCATCACCTCCCAAAAGCTTCTTTTCAAACCACGATTTTCCCATTTATTTTGGTCCCAAGCAGTCCTATTCTTTAGCAGCCTGTAACTCACTCCCAACTACCCCCCTGGGGGGTAAAAAATGAAGGAACTCCCCCTAGGCTGGCCCCAATATCTCAGAATTAAATAAGAGGAGGGGCTAGCAGCCTCCTGGAGACTAAAACAATTTGAGAGGCTAAATCTACCTTTCCAAGGATGGAAAATTTATTCAGATAATGTTTGAAAATTCATATATGCCACAATAGGATAAGAATTAAAAGGTGGAAATCTCACACTCTTCCTTATACCTCCCCTACTGCCCAGATTCCAGACATCATATCACTGTCATTACATTTCTGCTAAATGGAGTCCCCCAGGCACTAATCACACAGGCAACTGCATAGTGTCATAAAAATCGCACCACAACTTTTCCATTAAAAAAGCTGTAGTGTCTTTCTCTCTGGATACATTGGCGATTCTCCAGTTACTTCAATACTTTAAAGGCTGCAGCAGCATGCAAAAGAATTTCATTTCATTTTTTTAAAAAAAAAAAAAGTTAAGAAAAGTTTCCAGGAGATGATGAGTTTTATTTTTCTTGTTTGAATAGAGGTTTGATTTGCTCTCGAATGTTCCAGGGTGGAGAGAGACTAGGCGAAAGCACAAGATGTCGAGGTCTATTCGGTGTAATCCTCTCCCTCATTTTCATCTTCACCATCAACAGAGAGAGCAGCATACTTGCTCACAGAACTGAACTTGGAGGCTGGATTTTCCTCAGGTTTCTTTGGCTCAGGTGCAGATCTGGAGTCTTGATCCTTTTTGCTGTCTTTCCTATCTGATTCTTTCCAGTGGTCTTTGTTCCCTCCATCTCCTGGACCACGGCTAGGGGTCCCAGTTTGGCCCTTTGAGACACTCATCGCATCTACTTTATTTTCATCTTTCCTTGCTGGTCCTTCCTCAGACGGCTGAGCTGGAGCTGGTTTCCCCCCGCCACTTGTAGGGGATTGCTGCTCTGTGTCTGAGCTCTGAGATCGAGCAGGAGGGTTAGAACTTCGCTTCACCTAAGCATTCCCCTTTGGTGGAGGGGCTGGCATTACCTTTAGGGGCTGATCAGGTTTGGAGGGCTAGAAGTTGGAGAGTGACAGTCTGCCTCCTTATTAAGTGTTTCATTTTCTAGAGACTTCTCACTCTCTCTCCTTCGCACATTTCTGCCAGATGTGGCTGAGGTCCCAGGCTGTGATGATTCACTTCCTGTCCTCAACCGTTCCCATTCCTGAGTTTCTTCACTTCGCCAGCTTGGGTGTCTCTCCCTCGGCCGTCGTTCTAGTTTTGGCTCATCCAGCTGACGTTGCAATTTCTCCTGTTCCTTTTGTAGTTGTTCTTCTACTTCTCTTTCTCTAGCCGCTGTGTCAACAGGCTTTGCCCCTCCAAAGATAGAAGCTGCTCGACTGGACTGGGAGGTGCTAGCAGAGGAATCATCCTCCTTAGGAGTACTCCGAGGCTTTAGATTCAGTTTGGGTCTTTGGGGGGGGGGACCTCTCTCATCAAGCCTATAATCATCCCGAGAGTGAGAGTAATCATCTCTGGAGCTCCATGATCTGTCATCCCGTCTGTCGTATTGGTCTTCATATCGGTCCCCGCCTCCTCTGTAGTCATCATCTCTGCGGTACCCACTACCAAATGCTCTTCTGCCACTGCCTATCCTGGAATCATAGCCTCTATCGTAGTCTCTGCTACCTCGGTCATCATAGTGATCCCGGCTCCCATATTGATCCACGTCCCGGTGTGGACCATCCCGATACCCATCCCAATACTGATCTGAATCATAACGATCTCGATACTTGTCTCCAAAGCTATCATCACCTCTTCTAGGCGGGTAGTCATCAAAGGTATCTGTGGTAGGATGGGCTCTCCAGTCTGTATCTGTTTTGTCAGACTCCCGGTTTCTATCCCGGCCAAAAGAACAATCATCCCTGTCTTTATCCTGAGCTTGATCAGCAACATCAACTCGAATTCTCCTGTTACCTAGAGACTCTTCATTGAGACTCATGGCACTGAGCAGGGAATCCAGGTCCTCAAACCCAGCAAAACCAAAACCTTTCAACCTCTGGATTGCTGGATTCATGGGGTAACCGCACTGCACTGATATTTAATCCTCTAAAGAATTCCTTAATCGATTCTTCTGTCACATCACAGGGCAGGTTCCCTAGAAAAGCAGTATAGGGGGGCGATTTGGGAAGATGGCTCTGATCTCTATTGGGTTCCCGAGCAGCCTGTGGAGCAGTGGGAAGGATGGAATGGTCAATGGGAGGTGCCCTATACACATCATCATCATTACTGTGCCGAGTGGTTGAAACATCTCCTTCCAGGTCATCTGTTTCATCAGCCCAGCTGACTGGTTTGGGGACATAGGTGCTTCCTGCACCAGTACCCCCACCCTCAGCCAGAAAGTCTGTCAGGGAGATATTCTTCCCCTTCTTATTCTTTGTTTTTGCTGAAGCCGCCATGTTGGGAGACGGAGAGAGAAGGCAAAAGCGCCTCTGTGCCTTTTGCTCTACAACAGTTACTGGTTTCAAGTGGCTACACAGCCAAACTTTTCATTTTATTTTACCATGAAATTCTTTTAATATCATTATATTTGTTGAAATCTTAGTCTTTGTGTATCTTATTTCATAAATATAAAAATGAAGAAAGTTTTATAGTATTTCAATGTTTTTTAAAAAAGCACACATTGACCATCTGACTGTTTATTGTTTCATGAAAGTGAATGTCCAGAAGTTCATGTAACCTGTCACCTCCAAACACCATTTGGGTTTCCTTCTCCCAGAACAATGGCATGTTGAATATCACATTATCAATTCTATTCTATCTTTAGTGTTTTCATGTGTTTCCTTTGAAAATCATGGGGAGTTTTCATTTTATAAATAACGAAACTCACAAAGGAGTGTTCTTCCACTCTCTGGGAGTGAATGGCTCTGGCAGGTCGTATTGCACAGTTTTGAATTTTATTTTAGAAAAATAATAATTCCGTGTTTAATGTGTTGTTTTTAGAATGTTGGACTAGGTCATCCTTTCTAGGTATTTCTATATACAAAAAGTTATTTGTGTAGTTTCTATTTATGAACAAGGAGTAAAGGAGTGATCCAAGGCCCGACGGGTCAGGACATGACGTGGGAGGAACATGCTACTCCTCCACTATCAGGGAGAGGGTGTTGTCCCTGACCATTTGGCCACAAGTGCTGACTGTGCCTAATGCCTCAAGTGCCACCACATTGGCTTCAGAAATAGGCAGTGTCTACGGATTTATACTCATGCTTCCATTGTGTGACATTTAATTTATATTCAAGGGGAGAATTAGATGAAAGAAAACTACTTGTTGTAGTAGTCAGGTTTTTGCTCAAAAACCTGAGGTCGCTAATCACTGGAGGTAACCTGATACTGTAACACAGAGAAGGGCCTGGAAAAATGACAAAAATATTTTATGTCTCTTTAAAATCTCATTCACTTTTTGTGAACTAAAACCAGCATCTCTGCCTCATGCCGGTGATCCAGAGGGGCAATGTCATTTGTTCTTTGTGCTACAGGAGATGACTCAAGGGACTGTCCAGGTAGAGGTCCTGGCCAGAGGTAACAGTATTGTCTTCAGCAGAGATGGGACAGGGTTGAGACGATCAGAATCATCCACTGTAGTTGAACAGCAATTGTCTGAAGCTGAAAACCTCTCTTTAACCACTTTGGGACCAGCGTCCACTGTAGTCAACAGCCTCAGATGAACGCACACAGTGACTTTAGCCGATAGCCAGGATATGACTTTTCTAATTTTTCATTTATCAAAATAAAATTGTAAACATTTAAAAATAATGTAATGAAAACTTATATGTATATGTTACCTATTCTGATTTACATTACAAGTAAAGCTGCCTGTAAAGTAAAACAAACTTTCAGTGTTTACAAGCTTTCCTCATCTCACAAGAGCAAAACGGATTTTTCGTCAATGCACAGCACAAACTATGGTAGGGACTATGAGTGCGGCTGTGGGCAAGGTTTCCCGGCTGGTGAGCCCGGTCCCAAAGTGGTTAAAAGCTCTGTATTTCTGCCTATTAATAGGACACTGGCATTTTAGACAGGAGTCTCCATCCTCCTCATTTGCCAGGAAACTAGTAAACTCCTCTTTCCTCCTCCTCTTCAAACCACTTGTTGTCCTTCTTCTGATGTGGCTCCAGGGAAACGTGCCAAGCTTTCGGTAACACATTTGGCATCGATGGGTGTGGCATTAGCTCCCCCAGGGGACCCGCATCCTGTGGCTGCTGTAAGAGGCAGGGAACAGCTCTGGGACAAGCCTTAGGTAGGAACTTCAGCTTTTTGGGCAAGAAAGTAAGGGACTACCCAGCAGCTCCAGGGGCTGTTTAGCTCTGAAGAAGTCCCATTTCTTTTGCTCTAAATGCATACAACTCCAACCAAACTGAATTGAGTTTGGTGGAAAGAAACAGATTTGGGAAGGGTAGCAACATCCACAGCCATTTGTAAATAATGTTCCATGAGACACTGAGACCTGAGTCCAACTATTTGTCAGGGTGGTGTTAGGAACTCCCTGTTGCCTTTGTTTTAAGGCACCAGTTTGGGGATAGAAGTGAAGAGGTTGAGTGGACCTAGGGGACCTGATTTGGATTAATCTCATCTATGCGTCTCAGGCAACCAGGTGGGATTGAAAAATGTTAAAATTGGTTCTAATTTTGTCCCCTTTGGATTAAGAAATGCTGATTCTGCTTTGAGAAAATTTGGTTCTCAATTTGTGATTTCCATCTGGTAAGGGCCTGGCATTCTGTCTTGAAAATTCTCTAGTGTCTGTGTTTGTTATTTGTGATTTTTTGTTACAAAGTAAAGAAGTTCCATCTAAAATTCTCTTGGGAAAAAGTTTGGCTAACTGGTCAACTTATAGCTAGAAACCTATGTATAAGCAAAAGGTATCATTGTAATCCCATGTACGTGATGGAGTGTGAGGAGTTGCTGTTAAATAAAACCTTAGACTGGCCAGGCGCTGTGGCTCACGCCTGTAATCCTAGCTCTTGGGAGGCCGAGGCGGGCGGATTGCTCAAGGTCAGGAGTTCAAAACTAGCCTGAGCAAGAGCGAGACCCCGTCTCTACTATAAAATAGAAAGAAATTAATTGGCCAACTGATATATATATATAAAAAATTAGCCGGGCATGGTGGCGCATGCCTGTAGTCCCAGCTACTCGGGAGGCTGAGGCAGAAGGATCACTCAAGCCCAGGAGTTTGAGGTTGCTGTGAGCTAGGCTGACGCCACGGCACTCACTCTAGCCTGGACAACAAAGCGAGACTCTGTCTCAAAAAAAAAATAAAATAAAATAAAAAAAAAATAAAACCTTAGACTGTCTTGTAACTAAAAATATATTGTCAAAGGTGAGGTGGTTGGGATGACAGCCTATATTGGGTATGAAATGTCTGATTTCCTTGTTTAATTTTGAGGTCGGACATTTCATTTGTAAGGATCTCAAAGGTCGGGATGTCATTAATAGTACAAGAGAGTCCTCTACTGGCAGTGCATGAGGTAGTCATGATACTTTTACTTAAATAGTTGGATTCCTGCCCACCCCCTACCAGGGAGAGGGAAGACTGGTAAACATGACCAGTGAGGGGCATAGAGAAAAGGCCTGCTCCTCAACTTCCCCCTCCCCACCACCATCTTGTCACCATGAGAAAGCCAGGGGAGGGTGCAACTTGAACTGTTCAATCCCACGCCCCCTGGCTTACGACTCGGGATTGAGAATGGTCTCAAATTCTAAGACCTGGCAGAAAACTCAGTTTGGGCAAAGCACACATCCCTAGCCAGACAGGAAAATTAAAAAGTATATAAACGCCAGGAAAAAAACAAAAAACTCAAACCTATTAGTCTTCTGTTAGGGGTGCCAAACAAGAGTCCTCTAAACAGTGTGCTTTTTGTAAAAAGAAAAGACATTCGACAAAACACTGCCAGGACTCCAGGTAGCAAGAAGCCCCAGGAGAATAAATATTGTTTTTAAAAGTGCAGGACCCAGACGGCAAAGAAAGTAGGGCACTCGGAGCCCCATGACTTCAAATATTCCCACAGGAGCCATGGGCAAAATTGACAGAGGGATTCAATTAGTGCCAAGGCCACGGACAGAAGTGGTCTGGGAAGACCCCTTCCTGGCCACTGCCCCAGCCCCAGGCACCAGCTATACCCATCCAGGAGACAGCTGTAGATATGCAAACGGGCCGAGAAACTTGAATGGTACTCAGTTGCATTTACAGAACAGGATCTTGAGATGTCCTCTGTTGCTTCATGGGCTCTCCTGCCCTGTTTGATAAAAGCTTAATGAAACTTGTGGAACTTGCACTTGGAAAGTTGTACAAACAACAGGCTACTTATCTAGGGTTCCTAGAAATGGCATCTAGATCCCAGACTTCAGAATGATAGTAAGACCTTTTACAGGGGGCCCTTAAGGGGACAGCTTATGACTGCCCCTGCTGTGCGTTTCCCTGACTCCTAAATGAGACAACAAATAAAGAATGAGCCTTAGATGCAGGGAGACATCCCAGGCCAGTGACATAATTCTGAAAGCCATTAAACAATACGGTGAGAGAATGGCCTCTTTGCCTCCAGACAGTAACAGCTACTTCTGAGTTGTTATTAAAGACTGTGTCTCTCTCAATCCTGCCACCTTTTTCCAGCCAAAGAGAATGAGTCTTTACAATATGACTGTGTAGAGGTTCTAGAGACTGTGTGTTCTAGCAGGATAGATCCGTCAGATCAGCCAATGCCAGAGCAAGACGGGGATCTTTTCAATGACAGGGACAGCTTCATGGACAACGAAGGGCTGGTTATGTGATGACCATGACAGTGGCACTGCCACCTGGGACTTTGGCCGAGAAAGCTGAGCTAGTGGCTTTAACCAGAATAGTTATCCACAGGGAAAAAGAAAAACATTTATATGGACTCTAAATAAGTTTTTTTTTTTCTTTTTTACTTTTTTTTTTATTTCGGCATATTATGGGGGTACAGATTTTAAGGTTTCAATAAATGCCCATTTCCCCCCCTTTAAATAAGTTTTTTGATAGTATATGCTCATACAACCATTAAAGGCCTGGCGTGGAGGCTCTCGCCTGCAATCCTAGCACTCTGGGAGGCTGAGGCGGGAGGATCGCACAGGATCAGGAGTAGGAAACCAGCCTGAGCAAGAGCGAGACCCTGTCTCTACTAAAAATGGAAGGAATTTAATTGGCCAACTAAAAATATATAGAAAAAATTATCCGGGCATGGTGGTGCATGCCTGTACTCCCAGCTACTTGGGGGGCTGAGGCAGAAGGATCACTTGAGCCCAGGAGTTTGAGATTGCTGTGAGCTAGGCTGACGCCACGGCACTGTAGCCAGGGCAACATAGTGAGACTCTGTCTGGAAAAAAAAAAAAGCATTAAAAAAGGGATAGTCTCCTGATGACAGAAAATAAAGATATTCAGTATGCCATT